GAAAAAAAGAAGAAAGAGAACACAACGTTTAGGCCGTGAAGCCTTCTTCACCTGAAGAAGGCTCCACGGCCGAAACGTTGTTCTCTTTCTTCTTTTTTTCAATAAAGAGGCTCCACGGCCGAAACGTTGTTCTCTTTCTTCTTTTTTTCAGCATGGAATAAACCTATTACTTGTTCCTTTGCAGCCTACGCATGCTGACGCAGCTACCCACCTGAACTATTAGTAAATAAGCAGTGTCTTTTCAATCTATGCCTGAATTGAAGGATTCCCCAAAATCTCTCCTCAAATCATTATCATTTCTGTTTCAGCTAGCTCAGTTTAATTTTCCCTCCACGAGTGACCCTGTTGGTTTGGTATATTTGTTCCATTATACAGTACATTGAAAATGCAATTAAAATGCAGATGTAGTGAATCAAAGAAGTTTAAAATTAATGTATAATTAATGCAATAAAATACCTTATAACATTTGCATTAATCTAGTGTGACCTTTTCTAAACAAAATAGATCTCATGCTGATCTTTTTTTTTGCCAATTCATTCTTAGGAAACACATTTAAAAAATAAAATAAACCCTTTTATTTTTACCCTTCTGTGGTGATTCACAGAGTGAAACTGTGTATCAGGAATGTGCCTAACCATTTCAACTGCTCTGGAAAGTGCTGTATTTCATTAAACTGTTTGTGCCTCATCATTTTTTTAAGGGGTGAAAGTTTTGACTGTAGTGGATCCATTTGGCATAATGTAGCCGTGTGCGTCATACAGTGAAAGTGACGCTAAAAAATGCCTTACCACTTCACAGCAAGCTGTTTCTATAATGGACTGGCCCCTGAAATGCTGAACAAAGCACAGCATATAACTGCCCCAGACACCCGATTTCATTCCTCCTTTACACAGATGAGGAAGTTTGGCCTTTTCTTTAATATCACTGATTCTGATGAGTCTGGACTGATGATACCAAGACTGAATCTTAAAGAGGGTGAATGCTTGCTCATACCTTACTTTGCAATGATTTGTACAGTAGCAATTACAGTTGAGCTGGCAGGTGCATTATAAACAGCCAGAAGGGTTGCCAATGCAATGCCAATGCACAGTATGATGAAAAAGAAAATAACAGATCAGTGTCTTGACAATCAACCTCAGAATCCTGAATTAAAAATAGATAATAGATAAATATAATATAGATAGATATAAAAATAGATATTTTTGGAGGACAGAGGTCAAGATGTGTGCAGAGAACCTTGTCCCCTGTCTCTCCTCCTACCCTCCCTAGAGATAATATTTTTTTTCTGTCCTTGGCATGCTATCTCATCCCACTCAAGGACAGACCTTCTTGAGCCAACAACCATTAGAAAATGTGTTGAATTTTATCATTTGAACTGGCTCACTAGATTAAGGATTTGTAATGCAGAAAATGTCAAGAACTTCTGGTATCATGTTGGGAAACCAGAAACACATGTACTAGTTTAAAAAGCATGTAATCTAATGTATTAAAGGTCAATGTTGATGGCCTTTCATGCACTGAGTGGTTCTCCTTAAGCACTTGTGGGATTGGAAGGCTGATTCCCCGTCTCACATTGTGTTCAGCTTCTGTAGTGCTTTCTGTAGTTCTGTAGTACAGCTCCGTATTTGCAATAGTAAAAAAATGGCAAGCTTGGTGGAATAGCACAATCCATCTTTGCTTATATCAGAGTGACAGCCTCCATTTTGAAAACAGTTGTTTTAAACTTTGCAGACCTCACATCACTGGGCAAGAGGCATTCATGTCAAAGTCACAGGGATGTTTTTTTTTTGTCTTCCTCTAAAAGCAATGTCAGGGGCTAGAGGCTAATCTGATCACAGCTTCCTCACTGTGATCACTGGGATGAGACGAGCTTTGAAATGCTTAACTGGTAAGACCCGAAAGAGATGTACAGGACAGAAATAGACAGAGTTTTCAGGTGTCCTGTCTCTGCTGTGAGAATCATTGGCCTCACCTCTAAGCCTGCTTCATGGTCAGCTGTCAGTTTTACAACTACAGTCAACCATCTAAAATTTTCAAACAACACACAGTAAAACAGTGAGCAGGATGTTAAGTGTCTGGGAACAATAAGAACGAAGCCTAGGTTACAAAATGAGAGGATGCTGCTCATTTGGTTGCTAGCAGCATATTGGTATAGGGTTTTTCCTTCTTCTGTTTTTGAAAGGATCACAGGGCATCTGCTTCAATGGCGTGGGCTGAGTATCTCGACTCCCAGAATCCTTTTTGTTCATCAGTACCTCCTGTAACTGGTATTAGATACAGTGACTCACAATTTTCACTCATGTGATCTTCTGGTCCGTTTTGAACTTTTAAAATTGAACAACCAACAGACAACTAACATTAGCTAGACAAAGTATTTTAATATTATTTTGTTTCCCACATCTCAAGTTATAAGTAAATTTTCACAGATCGTTAAACCTAATATGGTTATAGCCATGGGTATTAACCTAACCTAATATTTTTCTTCATATATATTAGCTATATTATGGTAAAACAAAGATGGACCTCTATCAGGTTGTTTACGGTAGCTAAGTTGAGCTCTTGGTGTTGTTTTTCTGCAGCGGCTCAGTCCATGCAGGTGGAATCTGTATTAGTGTATCTGGGTAGAAAGTGTATAATTTGACAATTTCGGCTTTACAAACTGTGCATATCTATATGAAAGAAGAAAGGAAATATTAAGTAATTGTGCTGGCCTTTACGACAAAGTCACTTAAACAAGTTTTAGATCCGTTTTGACTGGAGATTTTCAATTGGTACACTATGTATCCAGTGTTTACATAGATTGATTTTTTAAGGATAATGGACTGCTCTTGTCAACGGGTTATTTTAACAGAGGCACAATATTAAACATTTAAACGTTAAGATAAAAAAATAAAAAGTCGGCATGCGGACTCTTCAGAGTTTAGATGAAAATGGAGGCTCGTTTGTCAAATTGAAAACTACTGTGTTTGCAGTATCCAAATGAAATAGTCGCCAGCGTTAGGTTTTTACTATAGGGGATGCACTAGTGTTAATGCTATATTGTAGATGCTACTTACTCATTGATGGTTGGTCCTCTGCTCCACGGCAGCTAAAAGCCAGCGTGAATTATTTTATCATTATTTTGCATGCGAGGTACTGTACACACTCGGACTACATAGGTTTGTGTAGTTTTTTAGCACCGAATTATATTAATAAATTAATCGGGCAATAAGATGGATGAAGCTAGCGTTAGTGAGTCCTTGCCAGATTTGAAAGATCTGGAAATTAAAATTGGGAGGAAAACGCCGGATGGACTGCTCAGATGGATGCGGGAAGACTCGACTTTGCATCTCGCAGACGGCAAGTTAAGTACATCGGAGAGCATGGACCGAGAATCGGGGAAGAAGGGCCTGGCTGAAAAAATCAGGGATTTAAAACTCGAAATGGTAAGAGGGGATTTGTATTCATTTTTTTGTGTTGCGCGTAGATCAATATTATCTCAATCTTTCTCTGCATTGCCAATAACACGTTTTTAACCTACAGTACAAGGAAGGAAGATGATCGGGGGGGGGTCTAGATTTAACCCAAGCCATAACCTTCATCTAATACGAGGGTCATATTAAAAATACGAACATAACCAATAAACTCTGAGCGACATCAAGTTAATAGTTTCCTGAATTAAACAAATTGTGTATATGCATCTATTAGTCAACTAATAACCCTTTGCTGGGCAATGAAGTCGATTTTTAATATATTGTTGTCTGGGGACCTGTCTGAGTTGTGGGTGGATGATTACCTACAGTTGTTACCATATGTTATGTAAGGCTTTGGCATTTTGTTTCTTTTTTCTCCAAACTATCTTTACACTTATCTCACAAATGCAAGTCATTGACACAACTAGAGGGTTGGAAGGTATTCTAATAGAACATAAGGCAGATGACTCATAGATTGACTGATTTTAGGATTTTAAGATTTGAACTCTGGATAATCTAGTTCAGTTCTCAAGATATGGTTTATATATTATGTCATTTATAATAAAATGGACAGTTTTGGTTGTCACACCAGCTTTTGGCAACACGTTTTAAAAACATAACCTTGTGACTGTGAAAACAAAATCAAAGACAAAGAGCTGGTGAGGCTCAAGACATACTGTAGATGATGATACACTGTGTGTAGAGTGTTGTCCCATGATAGAGACCACTCAGAATCCTGTTTCAATGCGTTTAAGTGCATTACACTTTGAAGTGAATCCCTTTAGAAGTGATCTCCATACCAGACAATCACACAGATTGTAAATTTCACAAGAGATGCTATATATTCAGGTGACGTGCAGAGCAATTAACTCAAATGTGGAAAGCAATTATGGTGAAATAAGAGTGTTACAGTTGCTTTTGCAATTATCAAGACACAAAAACCATGGGAATTTCGTCACAAAGTTGTAATATAGAACACTATAAGACCGCCCATTACAAATTGCTGTGAAAGAGCACTATGTGTGAAAAGTATCCATTAAATATATTCAGAGATGCAGAGACCAGTTTATTAAGGAAGCATAACTGTGTTTTATGTATCATGTTTTATTAATCAGTTTTTATAGCATCAGGGAAAGCCCTAAAATTGTAAATGGCAATATGAGTGAATTTGGGAATAATATTTTATAGGGAGTCATACTGTATTTCTAATCCTCTTTAAATGTATGGCTAGTTATAGTTTGATATAGCAAGTGAGTGCTGAAATCAAATTTAAATCTTTACACACTGTTGTGAAAAGGTCTTAGACATCTGACACAATCAGTAATTGCAATTTATGTATATGGAACAGCCAGTCTCAACACTTCCAATATCTTGCATCTTCTGTTTTAACAACTTGTCATTTATTAATTAACATCTCAAGACGAGTTGCCAATTTATTGAATTAAGGTATAGTAGTACCTCAGAATTAAATCTAATTGACTCACTGTCAGGTGCTCCTTACAACATCTTTTGTTTTTCTGTACACATCCATGAAGCTAAGAGCATACAGTTTATACTGCAAAATACTAATCTGTCAGGATTAATTGGTAATTAAAAGTAATGTGTCTGAAAGTTAATAAGAAACTAAGTTTCTACATAAAGAAACAAAAACATACAAAAAGAGTGGAAAATTGAAAAATGTTTACCTTTGCATGACTATACTGTATATAAATAAACACATTTAACAAGAAGGTAAAATATTTTAGCATCTTTTTGTCTAGGAGGTTTTTTTTTGCATTTTATTTTTGTTAAATGAAACCTCTTCTGTCTAAAATGCACAGACTGTGAATACATTACAAAAGCCGAAAGGTTTATACCATTTAAATTGTATGTCTGCCAGGATGATTTTCTGGCCATTTGTATCCATTACTCCGAAGGATTACAGCCCAGAAGTCAGACAAACACACACTCTCAAGGCAGAAAACTCAGCAATGGGCTGCCTGCTCATCTTTCGTTTTTGCAGTTGAGGAATTTCCTGAAGTGCTGACATCACAAATAGATACATTGGCTGAGTTTGAGGGGTCACTCCAGTGCTCAAAACTTGACAGTTACTGAGAGAGCAGTGGGATTGCTTTGTAAATGTCAGGATTTAGTGTTTGATTTCCATTGAAAGAGCTTGTATTCAGAGAGCTGGTTTTTAAGAATGTAAGTGAGGGGAAATAGTTTAAATTGCAATAATTATCTTCTGATCATGTTTTCTTAGTGTTACTTTCTCTGTTCACTTATGATGGGGCAGATTTGAAGATAATTTTTAGTATCCCCAAGCAGCAGACAATATAAAGAAATACAAACAGTACACATATACATACACAAAAGAATCATCTGTTGAGCAAGGTTATAGCCATGGGTATTAGCTAGAACCTAAGCTTGTTTGTTTTTAAATTGGGAATTCTGTACCTGCTTTCTGAGGGGAGTAACTGGAATTTGTTATAAAATAGGGTGTAAGGGTCGTCTAGGATGGAATATGCTTTATGCAAAACTCGGAAATGATAGATGTGGGATAGGACTGGAAGATCAGCATCAGTGATCTTCCCATCACTCCCCAGTATCTTACTTCTCAGATTCAGCAAATCAGGGATTCATTAAAAGACTGATAAAACATGATCAACAATGAATTATCAACCTTAAAACTTTTAAGCTTCCTTATGAAAAATAGATCCTGTTGCCCTTTGTGAAAATAGAATCAAAATACAACATTTGCCTCAAAAGTTACCTTGCAGTCTAGAACTGTTTCCAAATACTTATATATCTCTACCATCTTCAAATTTTTCACCCCTGGTGCAGGTTTGAGTGGAGGACTTAGGGCTTTTTCTGAAATCACTTGCCATGTCTTTGGTCTTAGAGACAATCTGTTATGTTCGACATTCTGGTGGCTGGGAGAGACAGACCTGTGTTGTGGGAGGAACCCAAATGCAAGGCGAACATTGCAGTAGGAGGGAGATATAGAGCAAACCAGGTGCACTAGGGCCGGGCTGAGCACTATGCGTGTGACTGGCTATGAAGAGCACACAGGCAGATGGGTTGCTGCCAAGCGGTGCTTTTCTAGTCATGGTCATGCAGGTGCGGGTTAAAAGCTGAGAGTTTGAACTGAACACTCTCTAAAGCACTAGGGGAAAATCCAAAAGATGTGGTAACAGGAACAGGCGGAGTCTAACCAAGGAAACAGAGAGGAAGCCACAGACACAGGTGAGGGGTCCTGGAGCTGGTCTGGACAGGGCAGTTTGGGAATCCACACAAGGTATGGGTCGGGGAACACAGGAATAAAATTCAGAAATTTAAGAGCAGGGGAACAGAGGTTTCAACCAGGAACTAGGGAATACAGGAAATCAGGATCACAGGAACTGGAGAACAGGAACAGCTGACAGTGCAGTCTGACCTGACCTTAAGTAACCTGCACTATCTAGGACTGGGGTGCTAATAATAGCACACAGGTGAACAGACTCAGTCTGATTATGCGTCCATGGTAACCGGCATTGACAGGAGAGTCACAGTAACCTAAGCCTGCCAAGTAGTCCTGGAGCTGGGGTGGACATGACACATTCAGCTGTAAATAGTTCTACTCGCACCAAATGGCAAGTCCATCTGCAGTGGGCCATGGCACCATTCATCTGCTTCCAAACAAACTAACAATAACAGTGTAATCTGTAAATTTATGTGTCTTGAGTGAAACAGTCTGGGTAATTTTCTCCACCACCCTAATCGTTTGGCCATTTAGATGAATGACCACACAGTCACACAAATTTGAGAAAAATCTCTAGGGTGGTAAAATGGACGCAGTGAGATTGATGAGAATTTGAGGTAAGGATCTTAGACACTTTCTCTCAGTTTCTCAGTCTCACAGTGTTGCAGTGTAACATTTATTTATGTACAAACATCTCCACCTTGTAGTAGATGCTCCAAAGCCGTCGATTTCCACATCCTGCTCTTATTGCCAACAAGCAGGCATCTCTGTACTCATATAGGAATTTGGCATTGGCCTCTAGCTTGTCTGTTTTACTCCTGAGTGATTTCATATTAGCCAGGATAATAGAAGGTAGAGGTCTTTGGTACACACCACCTTTCTTCTTTTTCCTAGTCATTATCCACGTCAAAATCAAAATATTTACAGTATGGTGCCGTCTTGGTAGAATGACACGTTTGAGTATCGGCACAATGGGAGAAAATCCTGACTGTATTGTATTCTTCCTGATTGGCCCAGTACCAGCTCTATGAAGCTTCTCCAGGTCAGCAAAATAGTCCTACAAACGTGAGAAATATCCCAACCATAATTGTCATAAATGTACAGTTTTTAATCAACTACTATAAACTGTGTAAATAACAAAAACACAAAAACCGACAAAGACTGAGCAGAGAGGTGACTGCAGTGCCACATGTATAGAGCAATTAGGTATATTAAAGTGCAATTTTTTGTGCACATTACACAAAATGTGCATTTAGACAGGCTGTAGCATGGAGTTCTAAAGCTTTTTCAATCTTGTTCATTCCCCATTGTGAACTCTAGGAAGGTCGTGGAAAGGTTACTTTGAGGACAGCTGTTATTAGTTTAAGCAAATATTTACATTCCTTTATTCAGACAAGTCTTATTTCTCAACTACAGTTATTGATGCAACAAATGTCTGTCTTGCCCCAGGAGTACTTCACAGTGAGATCCAAAAGGTTATGTCATTTAGTGAAACAACAAAACAACAGCATCTTTGTAAACAAATGTACAAAATTAAGAGAATTGAACTTAAACTTATTATCACACATTTCAGTGTAGTGTTTCAGAAATATTTTTGTGCAACATTCAGTAAAGCAAGATGCAGCAAATAATAAAGTTTAACTGGTCTCATAGGGTGAGGGACCTATCTATTGCCTCTCTGACAACTCTACAGTGTCTTTTCTGTATTGTAATTCTGGTAGGATTGGCTTGTGTTAATCCTTTTAATCGGGTAATATTCGGCAAAACTTCTCCGACACCTCCTGGGTTATCAAGTTGAGCTGCTGACTTGGAGCAGTGACAGTACATTACTCATGATTTAAAAAAAAAATGTGGGATAGAAGGTAGTATAAAATTGTAAATTGAGCTGGTTTAGGGAATAAATTTAAGATTTTTTTTAAATATAATAAGAGTGGTTAAAGTTCAGTGATTGAAATGTCTTCTAAACCTCTGGAGTCCTGTGCCTACAGCTTATGATAGCCGGTTCTGTGATATAGACAAATGTCATTTTCACATTGGGTTAGGAAAACAAGTTGTTTCATAATTGCATTGAATGCATTTTATCAGTGAACCTTTCTAATATGATATTTCACCTCC